CCTGTAGAGGGATACACCATGCAAAGCCCCTCTGCTCCAGTGAGTGCTCCAGACTTCAAGAGACTTCAAAGCAGGAGGTTCTGGCCCCCACCCTGATGTCCCCCGGTGATCAGGGAGGTTTCCGAAGCCTTCACAGAGGGCTGCTGCTGTGAACACACTCCTGAGCATCTAGCTGCCTGGCTTCCCCATGGTTCTGCCTGCATTCCTCCAGGAAAACCCGAGGCCTTTTGTGATGGGCCTGGAAATTTGGCAGAGGGCAGCAGAGATCAAAGGACAAGGTCCAGCCCGTGCCGCAGGCATCATTGATGTGCCTGCTCTCGAATGCCCTGCTGCTCATGGAGGGGTCTTTTCCACCCTTCCATCCATCCTTCCACCCACCCACCCACCCATTCTTCACTCACCTGCTCGTCCAGGTGCATTCTCGATACACATCAGGCCCTGTGCTAGGCTTCAGGGATGCACGGAGAGTTAAGACACAGTCCCAGCCATTGAGTAAAGTGCAGCAGGTGTAGGCAGCATGACAGAGACGTGGCACAGTGGGGACACAAAGTGACTATCTATGTGGGGTATCCAGAGGCTACAGAGGGAAGGTGTCCTAGAGGAGCAGGCATCACTCCTGCCATGTCTCTGAGTTACTGGAGTGCAGGAGAACCTTGGCCCAGGGCCAGCCGCCACTCTGGCACATCACAAGTTCTCTGTGAAGCCACTTCCCCTCTGTTAGGGTGGGGAGGATCCTCAGGAACCCACCCAGCCCACCTCACTGGGCCCTTCTGAGTCTGGAAGGACAAACACAGCGTGGACCCTGCTTGGTCAACAGCAAAGGCCTCAGACGTGCTTGCTGTTGGGATTGTCTTTCCCAGCTCAGGATGAAATGACGGGGTCTGGCTGCAGCTGTCTGGGACCCTTGGTCACTGGACAGGGCGTGTAGTCACCTACCTCTCCTGCTTTGGCTCTGTAGGGCCCAGCTGCCTCCAGGGGCCTAGAGGCGATAACCTACTTGTCCCGCTCAGCCCCACCTCTCTGACTTCCAAGCCTTGTGCCAGGAGCATAGTCACCTACCTCTCCTGCTTTGGCTCTGTAGGGCCCAGCTGCCTCCAGGGGCCTAGAGGCAATAACCTACTTGTCCCGCTCAGCCCCACCTCTCTGACTTCCAAGCCTTGTGCCAGGAGCGGGGACCCGAGGTGGGCCTCCCCAGACTGGCCCTGACCCAAGTCCTTGATCGGCCCTGCCAACTTTAAAGCCCTTTCACATTCACAGCCACTGTCCCCCTGGTGCCTTACAGTAACTCTGAGAAGGAGGCAGGGCAGGAGCTGTGAGTCCTGCTTGCATGTGAGGAAACTGAGATCTGAAAAGCACAGTGGCTTGTCCAAGCTGGCAGGCAGAATGCTGGAGAGGCTCTTCTGTCACAGGCCTACAGTAAATCTGGCTCTGCCACTTGGTCGCTGGGCCTTACCCGTCATTTGTAAGGGGGATACAAACAGTACCTGCCGCCAGAATGAATGTAAGAATGAAACAAGATTGAGTTTGTAAAATGCTTGATGCAGTGCCTGGCACACTTGGGGCTCCTAATAGCTTGGGGATATTAATAATAATTCAAATCTTGTGCCTCCTAGGCTCCCTCTCTCCAGCCCGCACCGCCTTTCTAAGGTTGAAGACAGCAGCTGGCAGTGGGCGGTGGTTGCTTTAAATATGAGATGAGGAGAACAAAAGGAAAATAGAACAGGGAGGTGGCCGTGGCTACACTTTCTCAGTCCCCTTCCCAGGCTTGGGGGAGGGTCTGGAGGACACGATCAGAGGCTGCCTGCTTCCTGTTCTTAAGGAACTGAGCCTCTGCTTTGCAGCCTAGCCACTCCTGTGGGGGGTGGGGGGTGCTGGGACCCCTCATCCCAAGGAGACACCCCCTGCCTGCCTGTAGTGTCTGTCCTCTGGAGCAGCAGGAAGTAGGTTAAGTGAGATCCTGGAGTTTTCTCTGTACCTCTTCCAAGGCAACATGAAATATTCACCAGAAGATTTCTCCACAGGCCCCACAGAGGGCTTCGAAGGCAGCCCTTGGTCGCCATGGGGTCTCATTACCAAGTCCTGCCCTTCGCCTCCTCATGCCCACACCTCATGCCGCTCCCCCACGGTCCCCGCTCTGGGTGAGGCATATGGCTCTGGAGTCTGTGTGGGGCAGCGTTTTCTCCTCCCTGGCCTGGCCGGGGCACTCACGGCTCTCTCAGGCAGAGGGACAGGGCCCTGTGGCCTCCTGATGTGCCCCTACAAGGTAGCCGACTCCCCCCACTCTGACTCCAGCTGGGCCAGCAGAGGGGACTGAGGTGTCAGTGGGGTGGCCCGGTTCAGGCCTGGGGCTGCTGCCATCTGAGCAGAGGGCAAGTGAGGCCTGAGGAGGCAGGAGGCGGCTAGGGATGGAGGACTGAGGCGCTGCCAGGCCGTGGGGGCCCAGCTCTCTACGGGTGGGAGGGAGACAGAAGGCCTGAGGCTGTGGGTGCATCTGGAGGAACAGGGACGACAGAGGCTGGCAGCCGGGGTGGGGTCCCAGCTGGAGTCGCTTCCTAGCTGGACCCTGGGCAAGATAGCTCCTTCCTCCCAGCCTCAGTTTCTCTATTTGGAAATGGGGACAGTGATTCCTACCTTGGAGGTCTGTTGAGGATTACACGACATCATGGTCCTGAGGGAAGGGGCCCAGTGCCTGCCAGGTGAGGGGCCTCAGCAGAGGGAAGCCGCTTTCCTCAACCCCAGTGAAGCCTTCACCCTCAGCCCCGTTCTCTCCCTCTCGCCTCTCGCAGCCACACCACCTGCTCCACTCCCCTGAATGCCTCCTGAGCTTCCTCGAGCCACGCTCTGTGCAGGCTGTCACTACCTCAAACCATGGTGACCTTCCCCCTCCCCATCCCCTCATCCCTCCCTGGAAAATGCCAAGGCCTACTTCAATGCCACCTCCTCTGGAAAGCCTTCCTCAGTCCCCTAGGCAGTGACAGATGCTCCCTTCTCTGAACCTGCCGTCTTTCTTCTAGCAAATTACTGCACTGCTGGGCCTGTCCCCTCCACCGACTGTGAGCCACTGGCCGGTAAGGAAGGTGCTTTCTTCTGTTAGGTCCCTCTCCCTCTCAGCCCATCAGCAAATGCTTGTTGAAATAGTGGCCATGAGCAGTGAGGGCCCCGAGAGGAAGGCCAGGGTGACCATGGCTGGCACAGCCCCCAGGGAATGGAGGGAAGTAAAGCCACTGGGGCCAAGGTAAGGACCGCTGGGAAACACACGTGCCATTGTCCTCAGTCACCTGATCCACACAACAGTGACCACCCTCTGGGAGCAGAAGGGGCAGGCTGTGAATGACCCATTTCCGGAAAGACAAGTGAAGAGGATTCTGCTGCAGTGACAGAAGTGACTAGGGTGGGAGAGGTGCTGCCTGCCAGTGGCACCGCTCCCCGCATGTGGTGAGGGCCAGCACTGCACAAGCCGGGTTGCATAGCATCTCCGCCCAGGCCCGGGGAGTCAGCTGTCAGCACCCCATCCGCAAGTGACAAGAGTGATCACTTCTACTCAGCAGTGATACAGCACACACCCGTGGGGTGTCACCTGTTACAGACACAGTCTTAAGACTCCCCCCAAAGCTGGTGCTTTTTACCCCCATTCTACAGACAAAGCAACTGAGGCCCAGAGAGGTTTGGAAGAGCAAGGCTGGATCTGATGAGATCTGTGGGCCTTGGAGCCCACGCTCCTACCCGCCACCCCCGCCACCGTGTCTGCAGGCTGAGCCAGCCTCACTTTGGGCACCCACGTGCAGCAGATGAGGGGAAGAAACAGGTGCAGAGCAGGCGGCTAATGGAGCGCTGCTATTCCAGGCCAGGCGCCCCTCTCTACCTCCTGCACCACCCCCGCTCTCTCCTGCCGTTCCCATCTGCGCAGCTTGCCGATCTCTGGATCTCTCCTGTAGCACCTGGTGTGGCACAAGGCTCTGTCCAGGGCTGGCCCAAAGCCAAGGAGCCGCCCCACCCACCAGGGACTGGAGGACCAGGACCCGCTCTGAGGTTAGATCCTCAAGCCACCTGACCAATGGCCAGCCTTGGCCCAGTGGCTGCGACTTCTCATTCTTTCCTTCGTTTGTCCCACTGCCCTCAGCTCAGGAGCCAGCACATGGCAGCGATCTCCCTCCTAGGCCACAGTGGTCTTTGCCTGAGCAAACTTTATCTGCCTGACACAATGCCACCTAGCAGATCTCATTATAACTGGACACTCAGGCTCAGAAGTGTGGGACTGGGCCTCGGGGCTCCCAGGCCTGAGTGTCCTGGGTGGGCCATCTCAGGAGGGCCCTGTGAGCCTGGGGGAAACAGGCTGCCCAGCATTTTTCAGTCTGACACTTGGAATCCAGGGCCAACCCCTGTGCTGAAGGGGCTTCTCAGTCCTGCAGCGTACCCCCATCCCCTCCCAAACCACCTCTGGCCTCTGTGCATTTACTCCTATAGTCCCTTGGCTGGGAGCAGCCCACACCTCTAGTAAAATCCCGCTCTTCCTTCCAGTGTTGGCTTTCAGACCTCACCCCACCAGAGCCCCCCTTACTCCCTAGGCTGGGCTTGGAGCCCCTCCTTCCCTCTCCCAGAATGTCCTATCTTTTCTCATGTCACTTCTCACATCTGGTTGAACCCGAGTGTTCCTCCATAGTAGACCGTGAGCTCACTAAGGGCACAATCTGGGGCTTTTCTATCATCAGAGCCCCAGCTCCTGGGCCCTGGCACTCAGTAGCTGTTCAATAAACATCTGTAGAGCTGAGCTAAATTACATGGGCCTGAAAACGTCTTTATAGTAGCGCTCTCTGGCCACCAAGCTTATCTCAGCATCCACATGGACCCTTCCAACTTCTCTTGGTCCCCANCAGGGCCAGCCTGAGTGGGTGGCACTCGGGCCTGTGGCTTCCTGCAGCCTCACCGCCTCTTGGCTCCCAGGGTCCACCCAAGACAGAAGACACTGATCGTGTCCTCCCCTAACCTCAAGAGGCTGTAGATCAAGGTAATTTTTTGGTCATTTTAATTGTAAAAACCAAGACATTTATATAAATAAGACTGCTGTGTAAAATATGATTCACCCTTCTACTAAAACCCTTCTCCCCACACTCAGAAAGAATATAGAAAAGCCAGCAGAGAGATAAGAAGTACAAAGTAGCATGCGGTCCCTGACGATAAGTAACTGGCAGGCCAGGTTTCCCTGCTGAAGCGGCCTCGGGGTGAGAGCGCTCCTGGCCCGGGCGTCTCACCGGAGGCTCAGTGACACCTCGAGAAACTGCAGCGCAGCAGTTTCCGCACCCCAGCCCCCGGCTCTCAACTGTGCGGGTGGAGGCGGTGTCAAAGGTTCATGTGGCCTGGTGGCCGGGGAGGGGGAGAGGATGGGGGAAGGCGGCTTGGTCCTCATGCCAAAGCTGCGGGCTGTGGGGCTGTGGGTCCAGTGAGATGCGGTGGTGTTTTCAGCCTGGGTCGAGTTGGGGGAAGGGACTTGGAGCAGGGAGTATCAGTAATTCCCCAGAAGACAAGGAGAGAAGCTGCCTGTGTCCCTTGAGAGGAGAGGCTCCTTCACATTTTCATGTGGCCACTAATGACAAGGACAGCGGACACATCCCAGCAGTGCTGGGGACAGAAGGGCAGTGGGGCTCCTGGGATGTGAGGGGAGAGCAGCCCTCGAGAAAGGTAGGACTGGCACGTCCTTATGAGAAAAATCCCATCTCCCCACCTCCTCTACCCTGTCACCCTTCCCTACCCACCCCTACGGAGAGACGGCTGCCTGCTGCCCCACCAACACCCTGGGACTCAGAGTGAGATGACAGAGAGCCTAGGAACAGAGATGTCAACAAGTTCACACACTGGGCATGGCTCAGGAAACTGGCAGACAAGGACAAAAAGAAAAGACCCCAAACTCTCCTGGGAAAAACCAGGACCTGCCTGGGGCTGCTTCCCACCCCACGTGAGTGGCAGGAACAGGCCCTGCACAGGATGGGGGGCAGGGGCAGGGGACAGAGTGTCAGGAGCACTTCCAGACACAAACAGCCAGGGTCCCCCCAAAGTACAGGTAGAGGAGGTTCTTCACCTCATGTGTGATCTCAAACCCAAAGCCCTCGCCGATCACCACGTGCCAGGAGGAGCCGAACTTCTTGTCCATGGTCTCTTTGATCATCTTGGCAGCACTCTGGAACGGAGAGGGGAGGGAGCGGGCAGGGGTCAGTGCCCCGTTTGGGAAGGAGAGGTCAGGTAGCGAGTCTTGGCAAGAGAAAGGCCTGCTGCCTTATTATTGTCGTTCTCCTGCTCACGGAACTGTCAAGAAAGGGTTTCCACGCAAGCACCTCCTGCTGGGGCGATTCCACAGGGACAGAAAACTAGCCGTCACCTCACTGGAAACTGGCTATGGTGGGAAAAGCAAGCCGTGGGTCTGGAGACAGCCCCAGGTCTGAGGCTCGCTCGGCTTAGTGCGGCTTCCTGGGTCAGGGTCGATTTCCTCCGCTGTGAACCAGAGAAACGGTGCACGAGGCTGCGCTGGGGACTAACTAAAGGAAATCACAGCCGTGAGGCACTCTGCAGGCTGTGAAGCACTGTCCCTCCCTAATGGGGTCAGTGGGCTCCAGGGAGAAGCCAGACGGCTTCTCCCAGTGATGGCAGCAGCCTGCTCCGTCCTGTGCTCGCTCTTTCAAGAAGCTTCCCCCAATGTGAAGAGGAGTCAGGAGGGGTCGGGCACCCGGCCTTTGCAGGGTGAGTCCCCTGCTCAGGCATCTGAGGCACCAGCAGCACCCACCGCTGCTGCAACACTGACTGCCTTCTTGCTCTCTGCCAGACTGATGGATGACATTCCTGGGTTGATGCCTACTGGCCCTATCGCCAGCACCCAGAACAGTGCCTGGCGCAGAGATGCTATTTAGCATCTTTCCTGAATGGATGAATGAATACATGAATGAATGCCTGGGCCATGGGGAAAGGTGCCCTATTCAGGAGCCCACTTGAGGTGGGGAACATGGGCACAGGCATTGTGGAGCCCCCTCTGGTTTTTCTCCCTCAAGGGCTGGGTGTGACCGTCAGTACTGGAGTCAGCACCAGCCTCTCCTCTCACTGGCCTTCCCCAGACCATGACTGCTTCCAAGGAAGGCCCCAGACTAGTCCCAGCAGGACTCTGGAGCTGGCTGCAGGGCACTGGGAGCATGCTATTCACCCACAGTGGTCACCAAAAGCATGAGGGGCTGCCTGCACTGATGGCAATACCTCGTTGTTGTTGGAGAATTTTTCACAGGCTGTGACACATAGCTCCATGGTCTCCACTCGCATCTCCTCTGGCATGTCCGAGTGCTAGAGACAGGGCAAGGGTGACAAAAAGACAAAGGCTTAGCCCATGACCTGGCCTTCCTGGCTGGCCTCTCTGTCCCAAGCTTAAGGCATGGGCACCATGTAGCTTCCCTGGCACAGCTATGGGCAGGCGACCCATCTCCTGACGGAGGGCCTGCAGTTGGGGTGAAAAGGGTGTGGAATCAAGCTGTACCCCAGGAGCTCTCAAGCCCAGGCCTCTCTGCAAGGGCACAAAGCTTCACCATCACTATGTTCCAGCCAACAGGCACGGGAAGAAGGCGGCCCAGGCACGGAGGGAATGCTGGCCATGGAAACGGTTTATAAGCGAATCTCACCCGAGAGACCTAAAGAGACAGCACGGCCACTCTTGAGGGCTCCCGGTCCTCCTCCTGCCTCTCTGGCTGCTCTTTCTCATGGATTTACTGGACCCCCCGCCCAGCTACTGGAGGGCCCCTCTCCACCCTCTTTCTTCTCCAGCTATTCCAGCTCCAGGGGATCTGCGCACTTTTTATCTGCGGAGGGTTCCCACATTATCACCCCTGGCTCTAACCTCTTCTTTGGGCTCTGGGCTCCTATGTCCAACTGTACATTTGACAGCCTCACTTAGATGTCTAGAAAATACCTTCTAATTCTCCCAGCAAACCTATTCTTCCTCCATCTTTCCTTTCTCGGTAACTAACATCATTTTTTCTCCCACCGTTCAGGAAAAAACAAACGCTAGGAGTCTCCTTCCTCCATACCCAGCATCCAGTCCATAGGTAAATCCTATGGCCTCTACCTTCAAGGTACATCCTGAATTGGCCCACGTCTCATGCCTCCCCTCTAGGCTTGACCCAGCCATCTGCATCTCTCTGGGCCTCCAGAATAGTGTCCTCACTCATCTCCCCATTTCCACTTTTCCACCCTAAAATCCATTCTCCTCACAACAGCTACAGTGATCTTTTAAGAACATAAAAGAGATCACATCACTCCTCTGCTCCCCTTTGAACTCAGGACAGCATCCACATCCTTTACCACCTGCTTCGTTGTGACCAGCCAGGCCTGCAAGGTCTGGCCCTGCTGTCACTCTGACCCTCGCATCCTGCCACCCCTCAGCACTCCATTCCAGCCACACTAGCCTTCTCTCTGTTCCTCCAAAATGCTAAGCTTGTTTCCCACCTCAGGCCTTCTGTGCCTGCTGTTTTCCCTGCTTGGAATATTCTTCCCCAGATCTTTTTGCAAGTCTTGCTCTCTAACTTTACACAGGTCTCTGATCTGAGAAACCTCTCCAGGAGCTAACCTCTGCTCTCTGGCCCTTTACACCAGCTTTATTTTTCCTTTATAGCACTTATGCCTGCAATTATGTTCTTTAAACATCTCTTTCATTGAAGCCAGGCCTTCATCTGTCTTGCTCACCATCTCCACAGTGCCTAAAATAGCACCCAGAATACAGGAGGGGGCCTAAATAAGTACTTGGTAAATGAATGAATGAATGAATGAATGAATGACTATCAATNTTCCGCACCCCAGCCCCCGGCTCTCAACTGTGCGGGTGGAGGCGGTGTCAAAGGTTCATGTGGCCTGGTGGCCGGGGAGGGGGAGAGGATGGGGGAAGGCGGCTTGGTCCTCATGCCAAAGCTGCGGGCTGTGGGGCTGTGGGTCCAGTGAGATGTGGTGGTGTTTTCAGCCTGGGTCGAGTTGGGGGAAGGGACTTGGAGCAGGGAGTATCAGTAATTCCCCAGAAGACAAGGAGAGAAGCTGCCTGTGTCCCTTGAGAGGAGAGGCTCCTTCACATTTTCATGTGGCCACTAATGACAAGGACAGCGGACACATCCCAGCAGTGCTGGGGACAGAAGGGCAGTGGGGCTCCTGGGATGTGAGGGGAGAGCAGCCCTCGAGAAAGGTAGGACTGGCACGTCCTTATGAGAAAAATCCCATCTCCCCACCTCCTCTACCCTGTCACCCTTCCCTACCCACCCCTACGGAGAGACGGCTGCCTGCTGCCCCACCAACACCCTGGGACTCAGAGTGAGATGACAGAGAGCCTAGGAACAGAGATGTCAACAAGTTCACACACTGGGCATGGCTCAGGAAACTGGCAGACAAGGACAAAAAGAAAAGACCCCAAACTCTCCTGGGAAAAACCAGGACCTGCCTGGGGCTGCTTCCCACCCCACGTGAGTGGCAGGAACAGGCCCTGCACAGGATGGGGGGCAGGGGCAGGGGACAGAGTGTCAGGAGCACTTCCAGACACAAACAGCCAGGGTCCCCCCAAAGTACAGGTAGAGGAGGTTCTTCACCTCATGTGTGATCTCAAACCCAAAGCCCTCGCCGATCACCACGTGCCAGGAGGAGCCGAACTTCTTGTCCATGGTCTCTTTGATCATCTTGGCGGCACTCTGGAACGGAGAGGGGAGGGAGCGGGCAGGGGTCAGTGCCCCGTTTGGGAAGGAGAGGTCAGGTAGCGAGTCTTGGCAAGAGAAAGGCCTGCTGCCTTATTATTGTCGTTCTCCTGCTCACGGAACTGTCAAGAAAGGGTTTCCACGCAAGCACCTCCTGCTGGGGCGATTCCACAGGGACAGAAAACTAGCCGTCACCTCACTGGAAACTGGCTATGGTGGGAAAAGCAAGCCGTGGGTCTGGAGACAGCCCCAGGTCTGAGGCTCGCTCGGCTTAGTGCGGCTTCCTGGGTCAGGGTCGATTTCCTCCGCTGTGAACCAGAGAAACGGTGCACGAGGCTGCGCTGGGGACTAACTAAAGGAAATCACAGCCGTGAGGCACTCTGCAGGCTGTGAAGCACTGTCCCTCCCTAATGGGGTCAGTGGGCTCCAGGGAGAAGCCAGACGGCTTCTCCCAGTGATGGCAGCAGCCTACTCCGTCCTGTGCTCGCTCTTTCAAGAAGCTTCCCCCAATGTGAAGAGGAGTCAGGAGGGGTCGGGCGCCCGGCCTTTGCAGGGTGAGTCCCCTGCTCAGGCATCTGAGGCACCAGCAGCACCCACCGCTGCTGCAACACTGACTGCCTTCTTGCTCTCTGCCAGACTGATGGATGACATTCCTGGGTTGATGCCTACTGGCCCTATCGCCAGCACCCAGAACAGTGCCTGGCACAGAGATGGTATTTCGCATCTTTCCTGAATGGATGAATGAATACATGAATGAATGCCTGGGCCATGGGGAAAGGTGCCCTATTCAGGAGCCCACTTGAGGTGGGGAACATGGGCACAGGCATTGTGGAGCCCCCTCTGGTTTTTCTCCCTCAAGGGCTGGGTGTGACCGTCAGTACTGGAGTCAGCACCAGCCTCTCCTCTCACTGGCCTTCCCCAGACCATGACTGCTTCCAAGGAAGGCCCCAGACTAGTCCCAGCAGGACTCTCTGGAGCTGGCTGCAGGGCACTGGGAGCATGCTATTCACCCACAGTGGTCACCAAAAGCATGAGGGGCTGCCTGCACTGATGGCAATACCTCGTTGTTGTTGGAGAATTTTTCACAGGCTGTGACACATAGCTCCATGGTCTCCACTCGCATCTCCTCTGGCATGTCCGAGTGCTAGAGACAGGGCAAGGGTGACAAAAAGACAAAGGCTTAGCCCATGACCTGGCCTTCCTGGCTGGCCTCTCTGTCCCAAGCTTAAGGCATGGGCACCATGTAGCTTCCCTGGCACAGCTATGGGCAGGCGACCCATCTCCTGACGGAGGGCCTGCAGTTGGGGTGAAAAGGGTGTGGAATCAAGCTGTACCCCAGGAGCTCTCAAGCCCAGGCCTCTCTGCAAGGGCACAAAGCTTCACCATCACTATGTTCCAGCCAACAGGCACGGGAAGAAGGCGGCCCAGGCACGGAGGGAATGCTGGCCATGGAAACGGTTTATAAGCGAATCTCACCCGAGAGACCTAAAGAGACAGCACGGCCACTCTTGAGGGCTCCCGGTCCTCCTCCTGCCTCTCTGGCTGCTCTTTCTCGTGGATTTACTGGACCCCCCCGCCCAGCTACTGGAGGGCCCCTCTCCACCCTCTTTCTTCTCCAGCTATTCCAGCTCCAGGGGATCTGCGCACTTTTTATCTGCGGAGGGTTCCCACATTATCACCCCTGGCTCTAACCTCTTCTTTGGGCTCTGGGCTCCTATGTCCAACTGTACATTTGACAGCCTCACTTAGATGTCTAGAAAATACCTTCTAATTCTCCCAGCAAACCTATTCTTCCTCCATCTTTCCTTTCTCGGTAACTAACATCATTTTTTCTCCCACCGTTCAGGAAAAAACAAACGCTAGGAGTCTCCTTCCTCCATACCCAGCATCCAGTCCATAGGTAAATCCTATGGCCTCTACCTTCAAGGTACATCCTGAATTGGCCCACGTCTCATGCCTCCCCTCTAGGCTTGACCCAGCCATCTGCATCTCTCTGGGCCTCCAGAATAGTGTCCTCACTCATCTCCCCATTTCCACTTTTCCACCCTAAAATCCATTCTCCTCACAACAGCTACAGTGATCTTTTAAGAACATAAAAGAGATCACATCACTCCTCTGCTCCCCTTTGAACTCAGGACAGCATCCACATCCTTTACCACCTGCTTCGTTGTGACCAGCCAGGCCTGCAAGGTCTGGCCCTGCTGTCACTCTGACCCTCGCATCCTGCCACCCCTCAGCACTCCATTCCAGCCACACTAGCCTTCTCTCTGTTCCTCCAAAATGCTAAGCTTGTTTCCCACCTCAGGCCTTCTGTGCCTGCTGTTTTCCCTGCTTGGAATATTCTTCCCCAGATCTTTTTGCAAGTCTTGCTCTCTAACTTTACACAGGTCTCTGATCTGAGAAACCTCTCCAGGAGCTAACCTCTGCTCTCTGGCCCTTTACACCAGCTTTATTTTTCCTTTATAGCACTTATGCCTGCAATTATGTTCTTTAAACATCTCTTTCATTGAAGCCAGGCCTTCATCTGTCTTGCTCACCATCTCCACAGTGCCTAAAATAGCACCCAGAATACAGGAGGGGGCCTAAATAAGTACTTGGTAAATGAATGAATGAATGAATGAATGAATGAATGACTATCAACTCCTGGATATCTAGAGCTGAGTCAGCAGGGCCCTTCTTAACTTCTTCCCACTGCCATCCTGCGCCTAAAATAGCACCCAGAATACAGGAGGGGGCCTAAATAAGTACTTGGTAAATGAATGAATGAATGAATGAATGAATGACTATCAATTCCTGGATATCTAGAGCTGAGTCAGCAGGGCCCTTCTTAACTTCTTCCCACTGCCATCCTGCAGGAGATGAGCTCTACCTACCTCTCTGCAGGCTGGGTGAGCCCTGCTGGTGCCCTGCCTCCCTCCCCTGGGGCTTACCCTGACCAGAGGGAAGGTCTGCAGTCGCTTATAATCAGCCTCATCTTTCTTCCCTTCTGTTTCTCCCATGATCCTTCCACTGTGACCACTGGAGGAGAGAGTGGGGCTTTCAGGAGATGCTGGGACTGGCAATTAAGACACACCCAGGAGTCAGGAAGCAGGCCCTGCCAACTTGGTGGGAGAAGAAAATGTCTTTCCCCAAGGGGTGCTGTGGAAAACAGGAAAAGTAGGAGAAAAGAGTTGGCTTTAAAACCATACATCACAAATTAAGAAATGTCTCAGTAACAATTTGACACCTCCCCGTCTTAACTCCTCCGCATCCTTTTCCAAATGGCCAGCAAGTCTGCAGACAGGAGGATGAGTCAATGTGAGATGCTGGGACCCGGTTAAGAACACACTGGTATGATGCTGCAAGCCCACACTGTCATTATCAAGACAAATACTGACTGCGGGCCAGGCTGGGGATGCAGCCTTGAGCTAGCAATTAACAAATGCAGTTTCTCTGCGTGCCCACTACCTACATGGTCCTTACGTCCCAGCAGACATGGTTAGGAAGCTAAATGTTCAGGTTGCCATTGACAATTTGGGTTTATTGGCAGGCAAGGGCCTCCCTCTGCAGGTCCCTGATCTGCAGGAGAATAGGAACAGCACTACCCTGTGCCCTCCTTGGCACTCCTCCGAGGCTCCCTGGCTGTTCCTGCTACTCCTTCTTGGCCCAGCTGGTTCTGTCTGGCTGTCCCAGGAGTTAGGAGGCCTAGGCACTGGTGCTGGTTCAACCACTCACCAGCAGTGTGACCTTGGGCCTCAGATTCCTCACTAGTGACATGGAGAGAGTCCCATCTATCTCATGAGGCTGTTATGAGAATTCAATGAGACAACATATGTAAAGCAACTAACACAGAGCCAGGCACGTGGTAGGCACTCAATAAACTGTTGTTCCCTCCCTCTGGCTCCTAGGGGAACCAAATGAGAGGATGCATGTGGGTATGACTGGAAAGTTACAAAACCTTATATACATGTAAATGTCCCCCCCCATCTAGTTATCTAATAACAGATGGGGCTTTTCCTAAAGAGATGCGCCTGGATCCTAAATGGCTGGGGGCATGCGGCTGGGAATCCTGGTGTTTCTCTTTTATCTTACAGTTCAATTTATCCTATAATTCAAAGGCTTTTTATCTCAGAAGAAGTACTGATATAAATGAATACAAAGCGCCACATTGTTAAGCCCTTTTTAACAATCTATATTGGGCAAATACAGCCAAATAATATTATTCTGGAATTTCTCACATTTCCAAATAGACTTTCATTGCACAAACACTGACACCCAAGATGCTTAGCACAGTAACTACTGGGCAGGTAATGACAGGTGATGTTTATTAGGTTTAATTGACTTTCATTGCACAAACACTGATACCCAAGATGCTTAGCACAGTAACTACTGGGCAGGTAATGACAGGTGATGTTTATTAGGTTNTCTTTAAACATCTCTTTCATTGAAGCCAGGCCTTCATCTGTCTTGCTCACCATCTCCACAGTTCCTAAAATAGCACCCAGAATACAGGAGGGGGCCTAAATAAGTACTTGGTAAATGAATGAATGAATGAATGAATGAATGAATGACTATCAACTCCTGGATATCTAGAGCTGAGTCAGCAGGGCCCTTCTTAACTTCTTCCCACTGCCATCCTGCAGGAGATGAGCTCTACCTACCTCTCTGCAGGCTGGGTGAGCCCTGCTGGTGCCCTGCCTCCCTCCCCTGGGGCTTACCCTGACCAGAGGGAAGGTCTGCAGTCGCTTATAATCAGCCTCATCTTTCTTCCCTTCTGTTTCTCCCATGATCCTTCCACTGTGACCACTGGAGGAGAGAGTGGGGCTTTCAGGAGATGCTGGGACTGGCAATTAAGACACACCCAGGAGTCAGGAAGCAGGCCCTGCCAACTTGGTGGGAGAAGAAAATGTCTTTCCCCAAGGGGTGCTGTGGAAAACAGGAAAAGTAGGAGAAAAGAGTTGGCTTTAAAACCATACATCACAAATTAAGAAATGTCTCAGTAACAATTTGACACCTCCCCGTCTTAACTCCTCCGCATCCTTTTCCAAATGGCCAGCAAGTCTGCAGACAGGAGGATGAGTCAATGTGAGATGCTGGGACCCGGTTAAGAACACACTGGTATGATGCTGCAAGCCCACACTGTCATTATCAAGACAAATACTGACTGCGGGCCAGGCTGGGGATGCAGCCTTGAGCTAGCAATTAACAAATGCAGTTTCTCTGCGTGCCCACTACCTACATGGTCCTTACGTCCCAGCAGACATGGTTAGGAAGCTAAATGTTCAGGTTGCCATTGACAATTTGGGTTTATTGGCAGGCAAGGGCCTCCCTCTGCAGGTCCCTGATCTGCAGGAGAATAGGAACAGCACTACCCTGTGCCCTCCTTGGCACTCCTCCGAGGCTCCCTGGCTGTTCCTGCTACTCCTTCTTGGCCCAGCTGGTTCTGTCTGGCTGTCCCAGGAGTTAGGAGGCCTAGGCACTGGTGCTGGTTCAACCACTCACCAGCAGTGTGACCTTGGGCCTCAGATTCCTCACTAGTGACATGGAGAGAGTCCCATCTATCTCATGAGGCTGTTATGAGAATTCAATGAGACAACATATGTAAAGCAACTAACACAGAGCCAGGCACGTGGTAGGCACTCAATAAACTGTTGTTCCCTCCCTCTGGCTCCTAGGGGAACCAAATGAGAGGATGCATGTGGGTATGACTGGAAAGTTACAAAACCTTATATACATGTAAATGTCCCCCCCCATCTAGTTATCTAATAACAGATGGGGCTTTTCCTAAAGAGATGCGCCTGGATCCTAAATGGCTGGGGGCATGCGGCTGGGAATCCTGGTGTTTCTCTTTTATCTTACAGTTCAATTTATCCTATAATTCAAAGGCTTTTTATCTCAGAAGAAGTACTGATATAAATGAATACAAAGCGCCACATTGTTAAGCCCTTTTTAACAATCTATATTGGGCAAATACAGCCAAATAATATTATTCTGGAATTTCTCACATTTCCAAATAGACTTTCATTGCACAAACACTGACACCCAAGATGCTTAGCACAGTAACTACTGGGCAGGTAATGACAGGTGATGTTTATTAGGTTTCCTGTGTGCCAGCCAGTGTTCTAAGTGCTTTGCGTGCATTTATGCAGCTCATCACTGCAACCACCCCAGCAATTAGATCCTGTAGGAACAGAACCACAAAGCTTTTATGTTGTTTGCCTTAGGTCACTCAGCCATTAAGCGGCAGAGCTGGGGTGTGAGTCCAGACACTGCCCCTGGCGTGGGCACTCCTAACTCCAGTCATACGGCCTCCTCACAGACACACAGTAGGCACTCACAACACATTTGTGGAACTGATCACTAGTGTGGCTCATATGACCGCAGCAGTGAGACAAATGTTTGATCTTCCCTTTCAGTTGCTGCTGTTCTAATGTTAAATTGACCCCAGTTTGGTCAAGCACTGAGCTTTCTGTGCACTTTTCCCGCATTGTGCCCTCAATTTTATCCCCCTCTCAGATGCTTCAGAAGACCTCAGTGCCACTCTGTTTGGTCGGCNGGGAGCGCCACCACGCTCTCAAGCGGCGCACTGTAGCAGTGCGCCACCGGGCCGGCCCTCAGGTTTCTTATTTCACAAAAATAAGAATTTTAATTAAATTTCTTATTAGCTCATTAATGTGGAGGCCCATCTCCAACTCCATCCTGTCCTAGCTTTAGTAACGGCCACTTTATTGCCTCCTCTTCTACATTCATCAAGGTGTGACAGAAGGTGGCAGCTACACTGATGATAAAGGATAAGGGCTTTATGATTTGTTTATATCTGTGAATTTCAAATGGGGACAACTTAAAATGTGGAAGCAACTGCTTAGGCACTTTCTACCTAAATATTTCGACTTGATTCAATTCATCCATGAGGCTAAAAAGTGCAGGCACGTAGGAGCCTGGAAGGGAGTTGAAAGCCAATTGTGCACATGCCACCATTTCAGAGGTCAGGNGTAGGAGCCTGGAAGGGAGTTGAAAGCCAATTGTGCACATGCCACCATTTCAGAGGTCAGGATCTGTGACAGCTACTTAAACTCTGCTTAAACATACCGAATCCCACTGAAATGGCACAAGGTATTATCAAAGTCCGAGGTATTATCAAAGCCCGTTCTTCAGGAACAAAGGGGAAAAAGGCAATGGGACGGTTATCAGGGAACTGTGGAGGACTACAAGCCAGAATATTTAGGCATGAATACCAGTTCTGTGACAGAAATGACTTCTGCTCATTTCCTTGCTTTGTAGCCTCGGGCAAGTAATTTCACCTCAGCTGTGGTTTCCTCCTCTATGAAATGGGATACTAAATCCCATCTTGTCATTCTCAGAAAGCTGTTGCAAGCACCGAGCATATGCACGTGAGCATTTTGAAGTTTTAAAGCTCTCTGCACGACTATCAACACACTATCGCCATAACATCCACTATTGCCATGTGATTAGCCAGGACCTGGTCAACATTATTCAACCAAGTTTATTAAGGACCACAATAGCAAATAGCTTTTCCTAACCACTACATATACTCCTGGGGATCCAAAATGGATGAGACTTACAGAATAAAAAAAAAAATAGTTATAGATGACGTGTTTCCAAATAATGAAAGGTAGGAGAATTTTTATGATGTGGTGTCATTATAGTACAGCTACATTCATTCAGCCACGATTAAAACACCCTGCTGAAAGAATGCTACCAAAAATAGCAGAACTAGAGGTTCTAATAACCTTATCAATCTTCTATGCAAATGAACATGTGGCTAAAAGCTTCAGGCCAGAAAGAAGTCGTGTCGCGCCTGAAAGAGCCTTTTAATAATGTAAGTGTAGCCGCAGCCCAACTGCTTAGGCACTTTCTACCTAAATATTTCGATTTGATTCAATTCATCCACGAGGCTAAAAAGTGCAGGCATGTAGGAGCCTGGAAGGGAGTTGAAAGCCAATTGTGCACATGCCACCATTTCAGAGGTCAGGATCTGTGACAGCTACTTAAACTCTGCTTAAACATACCGAATCCCACTGAAATGGCACAAGGTATTATCAAAGTCCGAGGTATTATCAAAGCCCGTTCTTCAGGAACAAAGGGGAAAAAGGCACTGGGACGGTTATCAGGGAACTGTGGAGGACTACAAGCCAGAATATTTAGGCATGAATACCAGTTCTGTGACAGAAATGACTTCTGCTCATTTCCTTGCTTTGTAGCCTCGGGCAAGTAATTTCACCTCAGCTGTGGTTTCCTCCTCTATGAAATGGGATACTAAATCCCATCTTGTCATTCTCAGAAAGCTGTTGCAAGCACCGAGCATATGCACGTGAGCATTTTGAAGTTTTAAAGCTCTCTGCACGACTATCAACACACTATCGCCATAACATCCACTATTGCCATGTGATTAGCCAGGACCTGGTCAACATTATTCAACCAAGTTTATTAAGGACCACAATAGCAAATAGCTTTTCCTAACCACTACATATACTCCTGGGGATCCAAAATGGATGAGACTTACAGAATAAAAAAAAAAATAGTTATAGATGACGTGTTTCCAAATAATGAAAGGTAGGAGAATTTTTTATGATGTGGTGTCATTATAGTACAGCTACATTCATTCAGCCACGATTAAAACACCCTGCTGAAAGAATGCTACCAAAAATAGCAGAACTAGAGGTTCTAATAACCTTATCAATCTTCTATGCAAATGAACATGTGGCTAAAAGCTTCAGGCCAGAAAGAAGTCGTGTCGCGCCTGAAAGAGCCTTTTAATAATGTAAGTGTAGCCGCAGCCGTGGTACATGAATCTGCCGGGCACCGAAGCTCAACCCATCCCATCTGCCCTCCTGCTGCACAGAGCCAGGGGCAGCCTTGCTTCTCTCCCTCTGCCCTTTGCCTCCTCCTCACCCAAGGCCCCTCTGCGTGTACAGACAGACAGCCTCGCCACATCTGATGTGAGGCTTCTCCTAGGCAACGGGGAGCACAGAGAGGGCTCTTTATCTCATCGCCTTGTCAAAGCCAGTGGCCCTTGTCATTTTGTCCCTCGTCCTTTTGTGGCACTGACCTCAGTCACCATTTATTATTTAGCTTCTTAAGCATTTAAGAAGAATCCTTAAGAGGGATAGAGTATGTGGGAGGGATGGGGAAAAATTAATCAACTTGGGGAAATAAGGCCAAAAGGGTCTGCCAGTGCCCTGGGGGGCTCCAGCCACTCAATGCCTGGAACATTCCTAGCCCTTAGATCATGGCTCACCACCCTTTACAACCCGCTATGCATCTGAGAGATTGGAGGACACACTAGGAGCATATCATAGCAGTTCTGAGAGAAGACTCCACAGGCAGATCTGAATTCACATCTCGGTTTTGTTCCGGACAAGTGCTTACCTCTCTGAGCCTTGGTTTTCTCATCTGGAAATTGGGAATAAAAGTAGGATCTACCTCACAGTAAGTATCAGCTCCTTTCACTGGTGTAGTAGGAAGGGGAGCTGCAGTATCCCAGTTCTCAGACAAGGCACCTCGAGCTCAGAGAGGTTTTGTGGCTGGCCCAAGAGTGCACAGCCAGCAATGGCAGAGCCAGGATCAGACCCACATCTATGTTTCTGACTCTACCTTCTGTGCTTTTCCCCTTGGCACAAATAAGTAGGAGACAAGACAGTAACACAAATAACTTCAATAGCTGGCATCCGCCAGTCCAGCCATCTGTCTAGGCCTGCCTCCTGCTTCCGGCCACGTCGGAGATACACACTTGTGCACCTCAGTCATCCCATGCCTTCTAGCAAACACATGAAGAGCAAAGCTGGCAAGGGGAGGAGAAAGGATCCTAAGGACTTTGTGGTATTCATCCGAGATGTCAGTAGAGAGGTCAGGAAGCGATGCAGAAGATGAGGTTTCCCAAAGGCCTGGGTTCATTAAACCAGTTTAAAATGGGGGGAGCAAACACAGGGTTGCCATTTTAAAATTTTGCTAAGTAAGAGCATTAAAAACACACATCTACCATAAAAGAGGAAAATTTAACAGTAGGAAGGAGAAAATTGCAGAATAAAGATCAATCCTTTTCAAGAAAAGACAGTTACCTTGCATACACACACACAAGGATTTTTTTGGGTTTGTTTGTTTGTTTGTTTGTTTACATGGTCCTTATTGTTTCTCATTTTACTGAGGTCTAGTGAAAACTTGATATGTCTTAGGCCATAGGGAGGGAGGGAGGCAGGGAGGGAGAGAGAGGTGGGAAGGAGAGAAGAGAGATGTGTTCAGTCTAGATATGCAATTCTCAACATTTTCTTTGTGTCTGCTACCATGTGATAAATGACAGCGACTTGCATGGACATCCTCATGGACATATCCAAGTTTGGATGCAATCCCAAACATTTTTGTCAAGATACAAAGTATAACAAAAAGTCATAACCATCACAGCTATTAGCTCTCCACAAGAATAGCTGCTTACTACACACAGCAGCTTATGTCATCTCCCACCCCACTTCATTCCCCCTCAAGAGAACAGATTTGAACATAAGGGACTGAGAATGACATTATCACAGAAATAAGTTGGACTCGGCACTGATTTATTTCATAAAAACTCATTCACAATTACTAATTCCTGGTGATATCTCACAACGGATCATGACTTAACCGTGTGTCATGAGTCCAGACAACCTCCTGGGTCTGAGGAACTTTATTCTCCTCTGGATGCCACAGAGCACAAAATCCAGTGTCTGGCATATGGCAGAAGTCCAAAATAATATCCAAACTGTAATCAAATTATACTTAATTTGCCCCTGGGAAGGGAGAGGATCTATCAAATCCATTCCAATAACATTTATTGAACAATGATCTTGAGCCAGACACCAGGATGGGTGTTCTACATACAGGATCTCATTTACTCCCCCTAATGACTCAGCCAGGCAGGTATTGTTATTTTACTTATAAACACACAGTCTAAGAAAAGGAAAGTAACTTTCTACCCAGCTAATAAATGGAGGAGCCTGGATTTGATTCCAGGTATATTTGACTTCAAAGATTATGCTTTTCCCAACTACTCCACTGTAAGCAAGAGATAGTCCCTACCTCCAAGGAGCTTACACTCTCACATGGAGACCAATACACACACACAAGGAACTAACTATGGTTCATGGCAGGAAGTACTAAGTGCCACAAGACAGATGTAGAGATAGAGGAAAGAGGAGAATTCTGGCCAGCGTGAGGAGGGTAAGAGAGGACATCAAGAGAAGCTTGGTGGCGGGGGCGGCACTAGAGTCAGGCCTTGAAATGTGAGTGAAAATCCTGACAGGGGAGTGAAGTGAGGTGAACAGGCAGAAAGGTGAACAAACACATTTTTTACCACGGCAGAAAACTCAACGCATTTTCTGGGAAAGTCCACCAGTCCAATTTGGCTGGAGGATAGAATTTGGCAAAGAAGGGAAAAATAAAGCTGGGAAAAAAGGCTGGGGTTTGGTTGTAGAAGTGTAGAAGGGCCTTAAAACCCAGGCTTAAGAAGTGTGGATATTTTTCATGGGGAATGGATAACCCTTTGGGGGTCTATTGGTGGTTGGTGACATAGTTGTATGTTAGGAAAATTATTCTGGTGAGCTGGGTTGACAGGAGGAGAGACTGGAAACTACAGCAGTCAGGAAACTACAGCAATGGCAAAGGTGAAGGCATTAAAGACTTGATCCAGGGTGGTGGCTTCAGGAGTGGAGAGAATGTGAGGTCCTCACGGAGACACAATCAAAACAATGTTAAGGGCCGGCCCGTGGCTCACTCGGGAGAGTGTGGTGCTGAGAACACCAAGGCCCCGGGTTCGGATCCTATTTAGGGATGGCCGGTTCGCTCACTTTGGAGAGCGTGGTGCTGACAACACCAAGTCAAGGGTTAAGATCCCCTTACCGGTCATCTTTAAAAAAAACCAAAAAAATGTTAAAATTGTGTGAGTGGAATGGGCATGGCAGAGTAACATATGATGCCCCAGGAGAAGGATGCCATTGACAGAGACAGGGAAAACCAGGTAGGACAGATGGGTAGGTAGAAAAGCAGGCCAGTTTGACTTTAGAACTACTGTGTTTAAAGTTGCTGGTGAGATATGCAAATGGAGGTAACTATTCCGGAGCAGGACATCACCAAATTATGGATTATCAGGGACAGAAGGGAAGCCATTGAGTGTAACTATCACATCAATATATCAATCTCTACCTGTCTCCCCAGCCACCCATAAGTATCACTAATCCTGGAGGCACAAGAGAAAGATCAGAGCTGGAGATATGGGTCTGAGGGTCCACTAGAGAAATGACAGCTCATTCTAAGGGTCTGGTTACACTTCCCAGAGAGGCAAAATGCAGGGAAGAGACAAAGGAAGTAAACTAACAAATACTGAATCCACACTGGACTGGATTTTTGTACTTCAATTCATATTATCCTCAGAATTCCCAAAGGAGATGTGCTGTAGTATATTGATTTCATATATGCACAGACTGGAGCCCTGGGAGGTTACATAACTTGCTAGGGTCCTGCAACTGAAAATCCAAATTAGGTTTGCCAAGTTCTTCTCACTACAAACGATACATCCCACGGGGAGCACATCCTCGGGGAAGGCTACGGTTGGGTCAAAAAATAACAACACCCTACAACGTCAGAGTCGAAGAGGTCTTAGAGATCACTCAACCGAATTTGTCGTTTACAGATGGGGAAACTGAGGCCCCCAAAGGGAAACGATCAGCCCAGAGTCCTAGTGCGTCGCCAACTCTCCAAGCCAAGCTGTCTGAGCTGAGGCAATGACGACCACCGGCCCAGCCGCGGGAGGGAGGATTACTCTGCGAAAAGTGGGGGGATCAAGGTGCTGGGGGGAGTCAGATCGGAGAGCACGCGGGAGCGCCAAGCTGGACTGGGCCTCGGATGGGTGCGGAGTTGCGATGGCGAATCTATCACGACGTAGCTCGCAAGTCCCCAAAGTGGGGGTGGGAGGGGCTGGGGAACAGCGGACAGGAGACTGAGGTGGGGCCTCGGCTATGGGAGGGGCCTCTTCCGCCCGCGTTGCCTCCCGCCCTCCCTCTGGGCCGGCCCTCCCCGCCTGGCTGTCCGCCGCGCCCCGGGGCCTCACCTGCTCCCGCGGGGGCCAGAGCCGGGGCCGCAGCCTGCTCACCCCAGCCAGGGTTGTCAAGGAGCGAAACAAGAGTGTCTTAGCAACCAGCAAGGAAGTTCTGCCCCCTCGCCGGAAGTTGACGAAAAGTTTACTTATTATTGGTGGACATAAGTGTCAATCAGCGTTGAAGGGCCCTACAAAGCAGGGTTTGCACGGAAGGGGGCGTGTTTTAGAGGCTAGGGAGGCGGGGCTTCACTGATAGTCGTCTGAAGTGTGCCGGAGGAGCCGGGGATATACTGAAGTTTTCTTTTTAGAGAAACAAACTTCGAAAGCGGTGTTCCTTCTGGTCATTTGAAACGACAAATGCAATTTGTTGATGTCGTGACACTGAGCTGCTATTTCATTAGGATCTCAAAAGCCTGACAGTAACTAGCATTTATGTAGGGCTTTACCGTTAATATCACATTTGATTCTCACCATAGTACTTCTAGGTAATAGGATTTGTACTCTCGCCTGAACTAAAGTTCAGAGAGGTTAAGTAACTTGTTGAAAGAAAGAAAGGTAAAGCCCCTGGAGACAAAAAACCAGGTGCTCTTTCGCTGCGCCACACCAAATACAGTCGCCTGGCCCTAGTCGCCAGGAGACATTTGTACCATCTACTTAAAGATACAGCTGTCCAGAGTCTGCTTTTTCTTCCCCGTGGAAGGGAAAATTAATCTGAAAGTATTAGTAAAACTGGGGAGAAGGGAAAGGGGGAGGGGGAAGAGCCAGCAGATTCCATTATTGGATTGGTGGATGAAAGTGTCAGTGGGCTACAACATAATTTAAACATTTATTTTGTGATGAGTACTTGGGTGAAACCCCCCTGCCACGTTTACTGGCCCCTACTGGGAGCTCAGCCCTGGCCAGGTGCTAGTGGTTCAGAGAGGAGTAAGATGAGGTCCTTGATCCCAGGGAAGGCACAGTCCAGTGGGAGACAGCCACCTGAACAAACAGATACAGAATAATTCATTCTACCGGTGCTATATTAGAGGTGAGGGCAAGATGCCGGTTCGCTCCAAGGAGGGAGTAACTGACTCCCAGAGTGTGGTTCTTGAATGGACTGTGTCTAAGATGACCAGCAGACTAATGAGGGTGGGACAGCACAATTCACTGGGGAACTGTTGGTGGCTCCATGAGGCCTGGGTGGTGGGTGAATGAAGTGTAGGGGGGAGGTGATGGGGTGAAGATGCAGAGGGAAGTAGGGATCACAAGAATCAGAAGTTTTTTTTTTTTTTTTTTTTAAAGATGACCGGTAAGGGGATCTCAACCCTTGGCTTGGTGTTGTCAGCACCACGCTCAGCCAGTGAGCAAACCGGCCATCCCTATATAGGATCCGAACCCGGGGCCTTGGTGTTAACAGCACCGCACTCCACCGAGTGAGCCACGGGCCGGCCCGAATCAGAAGGGTTTTAAATGCCAGGTTCAAGGACTTGAGTGTGTCCTGAGTTGAGGTGAGAATGGGGGATGGTAGCTATTGGAGGATTTCAAGGGTAATCACATTTGCTTTATGGAAAGGCCACTCTGATGGTGAAGACAGTGCACTGGACTTGGAGTGGGTAGACAGAAGGTAGGCATAGTGGGTTTAGTTTTGAGACTTGGCAGTTTGAAGTGTGCCAGGCCCTTGCCGATTCCCAACTCGCCTCCCTGGTGCGTTCGAAGGTTCGAGGAATGTCTGACTCAGCCTCCAGATTTCCTTAATCCTCTTTGCCAGCTTTCTCCAGGGGATGGAAGGTGGCCTTTGAGGGGGATGGTGCTCTCGCCTCCGCCTCTCTTCCAAACTTCTCCCAAAAGGGGTCCACACTTGCTGTCTTCTTTTTCTCACCTCCCATTCACTCTTCAGCCTACTGCAATCTGGCTTCCACTCCCACAACACCACCGAAATTCCCTCTTCCATGGTTACCAGTGACCTCCAGAGCAGCAGAATCCAATAGACCCTGTCAGTCTTTATCTTGTTGGACCCATCCCCTCTGCTGGCAAGAGACTGTCGATCACACCCATCTTCATGAAATCCTCTACCCCAGAGGTAGGTACCTGTAGAACTCCTTGCAATGTAGATTCCAGGCCCCACTGCACCCAAATGGTGAAGGGCAGGAAGGTGTGTTTTTCATAAGCACCCCTGCTGCACACGACAGTTGGGAACCGCTGCTCTATCCTAACACCCAGGGCCGCCCACTGTCCTGCATCTCCTCAAACTCTCTTCCATTTTGGCCTCTTTCTTGGGCTCTTCTTCCATTGCTCTCTGTGCCTACTGTGACCCTCTTCTCGACAATGGTCTCAAATTTCTTCCTACCCTAGGTTACCTCCTCATCAGTAACAGTGTTTCCCTCAGTCTCCTTCTCTGGGGTATTTACTGGAATTGAGGGTGGGGTATGTACTTTAGAAAAGCTCCCTGGTGATTCTCAACACTGTCAAGGAGTTATGCCACCTTGTGTGTATCTTGTTGAGAATTGCTGACTTAAATACTGTCCTTTGGAGATCTCATCCACTCCCATGATTTCCATTGTCAATATTCTAAATTCTGATGGCTCCTGCATTTCTCTGTCCAGATTAGGCCTCTTTCTGGAGCTCCAGAGTGAAATATCCAACTGCCTCCTGGCTATCTCCACCAGAATGTCCCACAAGCCCTTCAAACTCAATGTGTCCCAAACTGAATTAATCAATCATCACCCTCCAACACGCTCTCCTTGCATTCCCCATCTCAGTAAGTGGCATCACCGCCCACCCAGGTGCCTCCATCAGAAACCAGGGAGTCGTCGTTCTCACTTCTGCCCACCACTGCCCACCTCTAGCCTGCCCATTCTCACTCCCAATTGCCTCCTGCCACAGCCCCTCCTGGCATGCTCATGTCATTCCCCATGTGCATAACGCCACAATCCCGTCTGTATTGTGGCAAGAACTTCCTGATGGGACTCTCTGACTGCAGTCTTGCCCTTCTCTGATCCATCCCCCATTACACAGTCCATGTGATCCTTCTAAAACTCAAATCTCACACTGCATTCCTCTGTTTAACAACTGCTTCCCTCCCACCATGGTTCCCCATCGCCCACCAGGTGACATCCATGTGCCATGACCTGTCATTCAAGGCTCTCCATGGAGTGGCCTGTGGGCTCTTCCTTCTCCTTCTCTCTGCTCCTTGCCCTGTACTTCGTGCCCCAGCCACGCCAACTCACACGGCCCCCCACGCGCTCCAGGCTGTTTCCACCTCCCTACCTTTGCTCGCTCGTCCTCTCTGCCCACACTCTCCCTCTGCTCTTTCTTCCTCCCTGCTGGTTTTATGAGCCCAGAACTTTTGGCCTGAGCTTGTGCACATTGGGATTCATCACTTGCAACCAGGAGAGTCCATTATGTTCCCATTTCATCTGGTGCGTGCTCCTGTCACTGCCCTTCTCCACTGTTTTGTACTTGAGTTTAATTCTCCGTCTCCCTCTGTGAGCTCCTGGAGATCAAGGACCCTGCCTGTCCTATTCATCTTTACATCCTGTGTTCCACACAGGACCGAACAGAGTAGATGCTCAGCAAATGTTTCATGAACGATGTATGAGTGAATTAATGAGGGGGAATCTCCCTCTGTGAGCTCCTGGAGATCAAGGACCCTGCCTGTCCTATTCATCTTTACATCCTGTGTTCCACACAGGACTGAACAGAGTAGATGCTCAGCAAATGTTTCATGAACGATGTATGAGTGAATTAATGAGGGGGATAGGGACCACCCCTACTTCCTCAGACTCAGCTCCTGTCAATCCCCAAGACTCAGCCTATGCTCCAGCTGTGCACCCTTATGTCCTGCTCCTGCTGTTTAGAACGGTTGATGGTGGACACCCTGGAATCAGTTAGTAATTGGATCAGCTGCAAGTAACAGATTGGAGAAATAGTGGTTTAAACAGTTCGAAGGTTTTCTTTTTCTCATGAATAAGAAGTAATTCAGGGCTGGCTGGAGTGGGTCTCAATGACCTCATCAAAGACCCTGCTGAGCCATCACTGGTACACTGCCAGCTGGTACACTGCCAGCATCTCTCTTGCATTCCAGGCTGGAAAAGGGCAAAGGACAAAGGGCACATCAATGATTTCCAGCTAGGTCACTGCCCTTTAAAAGGGACTTCCTCTCTCATATTGGAGGTCAGAATATCCTCTGGCTGCAAGGAAGGCTGGAGAATCTATTTTTAGCTGGGCATATTTTTGCCTCCAATAGAATTGGGGTTCTGTTTGTAAGGAAGCAGAGAAATACGGATGCTGAGTCCGTCCACCCACCCAACAGCCATCGCCCCAGTCTTGTTTGCTACAAGAGTTGCTGTCGAGTATGGGTATTGAGTTGCAAGCACTCAGGGACGGCGGGCCCAGCTCCAGTGGACGAGTCCTGCCTAGCTTAGACAGTCCTGGCGTTCCCATTCCCTTTGCCTGAGACGGTTTGGAGTGAGCATGTGACCTACTTCTGGCCAGTGAGACATAATTGCCTGCTGGGAAGCTTCTGGGAAAATTTTCCTCCCTCACAGAAAAAGAGGTGAGACAGGGTAACCGTCTCCCTTTTTTTCTGTCTTGAACACAGTTGGGTGATGACGTGATCCTAAAATGGCCTTGATCAGAGCCACAGGGAGCCCAGGTGCTGAGGATGGCGGAATGAGAAAATGGGAAGATCCTGGCTTCTTGAAGTCTTTGAGTGGCTGAATCGACCAATCTTGAAACTGCCACCTCCAGACTTCTGGTCTAAGCCAAAGTGTAGTCCTATATTCTGTCACTTGCAGCTGAAAGTACCCGATATGAGCCATTTGCTTGTCTACACCCCTCCCTTTGGGGAGTAGCACCCCTTCTTCTGGGAACTTCTGTCCTCACTCAACCCTGGTGTTCCAGTTGGGGGTGGTAGTCATTGTACCTCATTCTCCTGGCCACGGGGGAGGACGCCTGAGCCAAGCTGGATCAGCCAGAATCCTTCCCTGAGATTTCGTTCTTACACGGAAGGGTAGATGTGAGCCTCAGAGTGGCCGTTGTCCATGCTTCTGGACTCTTAAAGAAAGTCAACCTGGGAGGAATGCACTGACACTCAGAGAACAGGACAGA